ATATATATATATATCCACCCTTTTCTGTTATTTTTAATCTAATTTCTTTTCTTCTTCTTCTTACAAAGCGACACTCCCGCTGAATACCTCCTGCAAAAGGGGGGCAGAGGAGTGGGAGGGGGAAAACCCACATCTAATCATCTCAGTACAAATACCAAATACCAAAGACTAGAGTAGTAATAACAACAAGAATGAAGAATATGGATAGCGATAGACCCATCATCTCCAGCACTAGAGTTAAGAGTGGGAATAATAGCAATCTCAACAACAACAGCAGCAGTAGTCTTAATAACGGAAGTGTTAAGAAAAAAGGACTGGACTTGGCTCCCATATCCACCTCGCCGAATAGTAATAATAATAATAATAATAATAATAATAATAATAATAATAATAATAATAATAATGAGATTCCTATTAAACCCATCACACCACCAGTTTACCGTAAAGGACGCACAAAATTACATCCCATTGTAAATGGAAATGATGGATATTATTATGCGGTCTCACTACCGCTGGTGGGAGATGCGGCAAAGAGACGGTATAATAGTAGTCTCAAGAGACAGGAGAATGCGTTGAGAAAAAATAGTGAAAAGAATATCATACGATTAGTGCCGAACTCAGAAAAAGAAACAACTAATACGAACACTACTATTACTACTATTACTACTACTACTACTATTCCAACAACAACAACAACAACAACAACAAGAAAAGCACTAGGGCCGGATATTCATAAAGAAGAAACTCCACAAATGGCAGGAAAGCAGGGATGGAGTAAACAAATAGGAGAAACAACAGAAAGAATGAATGGGGATATGAATAAAGTGAAGGCGGTGAATACAATACCGGACTCTCATACAATAGGAACGGCTAAAAATAAAACTTTCTCTAAAGAAATATCTACACAAAGCCCATCTGCTGTATTATCACGTCCATCACAATCTCAATCACAATCTCAACAAAAACAACAAAAACAAATGCGTGAAGAGTCTGTGAAGAGTGAAAAGAATACGATGGGAGAGTCCCGTTCATATCCACCAACATCTTCTCCTGCCAAAGTGACGATATCTCTCGATAGTAACAAAAAAAGCCATAAAAAGAATACCAATGTCACTAATAACACTACCAACAATAACAACAAGAGTGATGATAATAATAATAATAATAA